ATTTTCGGGTTCTAATTTTCACTACAATCTTTGTTCGTTTGTCTTCTTCAAATTAGTAGTAATTTTGACGTTAAGTAAGCACTTTGATTATGAGTATTCACTAAAAATTACGGAGCAAAGTATTACAGGTGTGTTCTCAACCGAGTACGTTGACGCATATCCCTAGAAATAAGTTGCATATAGCTGTTCCGTCGGATTCATAAATAACCCCATCTGTCATAATATTCGGATAAGAATTACTTCCCTCTTTTCGCGATTTTATAAATGACCAAAAGTGTTTGGGATTTTTGTTGAGCGTCTTTTCAGTCAGTTCAATATAATTATTATATAGGTTTTGTTCCAGTTTTTCGCATCGTTTGCTAAGTAATTTAAATTCTACCTCATCTAAAGGATTGTTATATATTTTATACCTGCGATGTAATTTGTTCTTTTCTCGAAGCAGTCGTAAGAGTGATTTATTAACCCACGGAGGATATTTGTTCTGCTTAAATTCAGTACACGGTACATGAGTCTTAATAATATTATTTAGTACGGTGTAGAACTTATCCATAATTTCATCTATAGTGAGGCATTTGGAAAACAATTCCTCCCAGTTTATTTCCGCAAGACAGTTATTTATAGCATCATAATTAGCTTTATAGTAATTATTTTTCTTATTATTAATATTGTTACTAAGTACGTGGTTCGTATTAAGCACAATTTCAATTTCTAATGGAGGATGTTGTGGATCAACAACGGAGAGATTACTTAAAGCTAATGTGACATTACATACTGGTAAATCAGTTAATACAAGATCGAGAATTCTTTGGTTACTGTTACGTATTAAGTTATATTGAATAAAATTTGAAGTATAACAAAAGTCTACTAGAGTTGTATTTATTTTTGAAGTTTGGTTATGTACTGTACCCGAGTTTATTGCATTCCAATCAATAGTGCCCAAATTAAAATCACCAATCAAACAAATTTTACCTTCAAATTTATCAAGAATAGAGTTACAGTTTTCTATGTACTGTTCTAGCATAAATTGTTGTACTGGAGGAGGGAGATAAACAGCACAAATTGCTATGTGTTTTGAAGAATCTAAGTATGGTACCTTTACCAATACCCAAAGATCTTCACATTGACTTTCCCAATTAATCATTCGAGTTGCTGAAAATTTCTTAGAAACAGCAATAAGCACTCCCCCTCCATCCTTTTGAAAATGGAACCCAGATGATTGCCTATCCCTTCTAAAGACTTCATAGCGGATATCACATAGTTCGGAGCTTAATACACTTTCATTCAACCATGTTTCGCTTAATACAATGATATCATAATTTGTTAATAATAATTTACTATAAAACATATGAGTTTTGGTCCTTAGACCTCTGGTATTTTGATAGTAGACAGATAAACTATCCATTAAGCGTACTAAGTCCACTGAAACATGCTTATGAAGCTTTATTTTAAGTTAGAAAGAACACTATCGTCTTTAATGTATATGTACCTTGAAACGTCACTTTTACGCATGAATATACGTCCGCCTCGCACCCACACGTATTTATAATCCTTTTCTTTAGCAATCTGCCTGGCTGCAGCATGTAGTGATTTGTTAACAGGGGATAAGTGTTCCATGACGAAAATTGCTGAAGTGGGGCCCGAATAGCCAAGGTGAGTACTATTCAGCTTGTCACTCTTGTTACTCTTCAGCCTGTTGAATTTTATGACCGCAGACAGAAAAGAGTCCCGGACCCTTGTATTACTTAGTTCTACTATTATGGAACGTGGCCGTTTACTCTCAGGATTGACTTTGGCTGTCCTTGTAACATGGATAATGTTTTCGTCTTGAAGGTCAAGCCCCACTACGTTGCTAAGTTGCTTTACGATGCCTATTAAGTTCTCTGATTTTTTCTCCGGAACGCATTGTATTTCAATATTCTTGCTACGAGTATTTTGTTCTAGCTGGTTTATGCGAGCAGTGAGATTTTTAATACTCGATTGCATTTCACCTTCGCGTTTTTGCAGCGTTTTGATTAGACCATGACTCTCATTATATTTTAACAAAATATCCTCTACTTGGTCGCTCATATAATTCATAGCTTTATTTATGCTAGATACTTCTTCTTTCACTCTAGATAATTCAGAACAAAAATGCATCTTAAAATCCTCCATATGCTTTAATAGAACTTCTTCCATAATTTCGCGGATTCCTTCACGCGTTACAAGGGAGTCTTGTTTAAACGGTGGAGACGACATAGCTGGCCTTTTTGAAGGGCGCACGGTGACATTCTGCAGCTGACGAATTGGTGTGTTGTCATTTTTGGACCCCTTGGGTGTTGATTCTCTGCATTTAGGGCACAACCAATCCTTAGGGACGTTAGTGGGCGTAAGCTTTTTCTGTCCCGCAGAGAGACATAGATAGTGATAAGCTGCTTTGCATTTTGAGCATTTTACATAATTGTCATCTTCATTGCCTGCAGTACAACACCCCCATTCCAGGTTTAACGAAGTCATTTTATTTTATTTTAATGCTCAAAAATGTAACTTAAAAAGTGCACGGCAACAAATGACCCGTAACGGCCACAAGGAGTGAGTTATAGATAGTATTTACAGTTTAATTCGCACAGCAATAAAATCCCCGAACGCTGCTTTGTTTTGCGAGTTTAGTTGAGTTCGCGAGAAGAAGGTCTTAAGTGATGCGTGTTTAGAACACGCTTACGCGTTCGGATCGGATGATTGCACTTTGTAAAAACTAACGTAATGTGGGTAAATTCGTATTATGCTGCACTTTATAACTTTGATTTTTGGACTATAATTAATGTTTACAGATTAGTCTATTGCAAATTTAGTTCACTCGATGTTTATTTTACACATTGATAACGGATCAAAATGTTATAGTCCACTTTTTACACCAAAACATTAATTTTAACTTTGCGAATTCACAACATAGATGTTATTCGTAGGACGGTACACAGATGTGAATGTAGTAATAAAGGTATTTCATAGAACTACATAGAAACCAGTAGTGTCGCGACGACACGTCGCCTGCTGCTGCTGTCTGCGGTCGGCTACAGAATGGTACCTTAATTTTGATGTATTTTGTAAGGTAAGTAAACAGAAACGCACAACTTTACTAGTGACGAGGCATTCAGAAATGACACCGTACTGTGTTTTGATTCTTAATCCAGGATGTAGGCGGATAGGCCACAGCATGTACTAACCATCTAGTGAACTGCGTAGGTACTTGTTTGACTATGATTACAATTTAAATAACAATAATAATAAATCTTATGGAACTGCTAAACATTACTTGTGATTTTAGCAGTTCTATTAGAATGGAGCTGGGGACGGATAAGTGTGCGGTCCTCCATGTCGAAAGGGGTAGGGTTGCTAACTGTGAGGGCATAGACTTATCTATGCCCATCAACATAAACACCCTATCCCAGGCTGAAACATACCGATACGTATGGGTATGTCACAGAACATAGGTATCAATAAGGCGTACATGAAACAGTCAGTTTGCGATGTGTTTTATGCACGCTTTACAAAAGTGCTTAACAGTCTTTTGTCGGGCGTAAATAAGACATACGCATATAACGGTTGGATCATGCCTATTCTCATGTATACCTTTAGAATACTCAGCTGGGCTCAGACCGAGCTGAAAACTCTGGGCAGAAAAATCCGCACTATTGTGACGTCCCACAGGATGCATCATCCGAGATTGTCAGTAATGAGGCTGTACATGCCGCGGAAGCATGGTGGGCGCGGCTTTTTAAGCGCGCTTACCATGCATAATCGCGAAGTGTGCAGCCTCCGTAATTATTTTCTGACGAGAGCGGATGATCCATTCTATAAGGACGTTATTTTTTGTGATAAAGGACTTACCCCTCTATCCTTAGCTAACGAGCAATGGAAAAACCCGGCAGTACAGAGCATTTCCGACCGGGAGACCGTATGGAAGGAGAAGGAGCTCCACGGGAGGTTCTACAAGGCTCTACGTGAGCCTTTCGTAGACACAGTTGCCTCCCTCCACTGGCTACGTTTTGGTGACCTCTTCGAGGGTTTTGTCTGTGCAATACAGGATCAGGTTACCAACAATTATCGGAGATACATCCCGGTGAATCACTTAGGCATGTCATCTCTGGTTGTTCGGCACTTTCTAACTCTGAGTACTTGCTTAGGCACAACCTAGTAGCCAGGTTTCTACACCAGGAGCTCGCTCTGAAATACGGTCTCGTGGATTGGAAACTGCCTTTTTATAAGTACATGCCGGAAGTTGTGCCCGAAAATGACCGCGCCAGGCTCTACTGAGGCCGGGCCATCATCACAGACAGGACCATTCTTGCGAATAAGCCTGATATTGTGCTGATTGACCGGGCATAGTCAAGGATATTTTTGGTCGACATTACCATACCGTATGACGAGAACCTCGTGAAAGTCGAAACAGATAAGCGAACAAAATATCTGGACCTGGCTCAAGAGGTGACCGACGTGGGGTGGACTGCCGACCGAAATTATACCTGTAGTCGTTTTTGCGAACGGATTAATCCCAGTCAGCCTCTCGGGTCATCTGAGGCGACTGGGACTCCGTGACGAATCGCTCCAAGCTCAAATGCAGAAGGCGGTGCTCCTCGATACCGCCCGCATCGTCCGCCGGTTTCTTTCCCTTTCCCCCTAACCCTCGGCCGTTTGGTCTCGTCTACCGAGGGCTAACATCTGGTTGGGTTTTTATTTATTTATGTATTATTTTATGTATTTATTTTATTTTATTGATATTTATGTAAGTTCATCATTTTAATTTACAATTATATGCAGCCCAACCAGATGAGAAAACTAGCCCACATAATAATAATAAGATTTACAAATTTTCAATTAAGTGTGTTATACCGAACCGAAACAACAGCGGATTTACTTGTGCGTGGCGGTATGCATTGTACAGTGTGTATATACAGTTTCTAATACGCTTCTCGCAAAACAAAATTTAAATGTACTATAATACATATGACTTAAAGAAGCCATACCTCGCGATGAATCCAGAACGAAACCCAAGAAAGTACTACAATGAGGATGCAGGGCACGTACACTTGAATGAGGAAATAACCTGTATGGCGCTGAAGATTGAACGACACTTGGAGCACAGAGAAATCACCTGTGAAAGGAAGTCGAATACGTTATTGCTATGAATGCAAGCAGTATATTAATATACATTTTACAAATATACGTTTATACAAATACACCTTCTGAAAAATAAAAATTACAGTCAGTTATGAGAAAGTGTTTTAAACGAATGTTATGCTTTTGGAAGTAAAATGAATCTGTTTAAATATGTACATAAAGAAATGATTATTATCTTAAATTAAAGACCTTATTTTCATTGAACTGATAATGGAAAAGAAAGTATTAAACTTTTTCGTAGGCTCGAGGAACAGTTTCGTACCGGTAAGAGGGTAGGGCGGTTCCTTACTAGATAGTGTATTTTTAAGACATGTAGGGAAGTCGAGGAATGCAAGCAGCTCAAGACCGCGTTATGTGCAATTGCTTGGAATTGGAAAAGTTGTGGGTTCGAATCCACCATTAGACAATTTTTGTGCATTTAAAGGTTTCTGTTATAGTTACGGAACTTCATAAATTTATAAGATTACAGTTAGAATTACTGCCCCGTACAAGTCCACTACCGAACACAGGCCTCCCCGTAGATTTTTGTTGTTCCATATTGTTACGCTGTTGTTACGTTTGGCTACCGAATTGTTTTATCATTTTGAGTTATTATTAGGAAGATGTTGGTGCTCATTTCCTCATTTATTTCTCCCAGTCGCCATTTACGACATGTATGGGATAATAATAATGATTTTTTTACTCCTCCATTACATTTGCTTGCATTGGCTTTCACTATAATTTAATATAATAATAGCGACATTTACCAAAAATTAAATAACTATTTAGTTTAGTTACTAATCAAATAAACTAATAATGTGAAGTTAACTGATATACTTACTTAAAATATTACTAAATACCTACTTATTTGTGCTGCATCAAAAATTGTTTGACTTAAATATCCAGACCAGTGGCCATTATCGGGAGGATATGCAGAATTACTTTGCAGAATGATTAACTATGTAATGTGTCTATGGACATTATATATATGTAAGTTCATTAACCCATACGAGAGCCGGGTTGCTCGTGTAAAATTACATTTATATGGCATGGGAGCAAAACGTGTATGATTCCTTCAATGACCAATAAAACTGTTAATGACAATTTTATGTGTTGATTTACTACGTGTTCGGTGGAGAAACATAAGATCGCAGGGAAAGCTAGATGTCTGAAAAGTTAAAAAATATTTCGAGGCATATGAAAACACCGACACACAATTTAGCAATGCGGCGGACACTATCAGTAATGGGGAGCCCAGATGTGAGACGTATGTAGCCTACATATCTTTTCAAGTTTCCTTTTTAGGGTTCCGTACCCAATGTAACCAACGGGACCCTATTACTAAGCCTTTGCTGTCCGTCCGTCCGTCTGTTAGCGAGCTGTATCTCATGATCCGTTATAGGTAGATAGTTGAAATTTTCATAGAATGTGTATTCTGTTGCCGCTATTTATACATATATAAATATATATTACTACATGCTACGTGCTCCCAGAGTGATCGCACGCACCTGATTTAAATTTTATACTCACGCATCGTGTGACTAGTGACTACAAAATGGCAGTAACAATGACTAATGAGGAAACTTTTCGCGTTACAAAGCTCTACCAAGCCGAAAATTATTTGTGGAACACAAGAAATAAAATTTCTTTTTTTCCATTTCTTTTTGATCACCCTTTTCTTATACACATTCACGCAGTAGCGGTATGCTGTGAATAAATGAACCGCGGCAGCCGTTAGCGCCTCAATATCCATTTTAATAAATTCGTCCGCACATTGGCCTGAACCGAAGCAAACTGAACGACCTTCCAACGTGTGGACGCTATCACAAATTCTTGGCTAATATCTTTGCCAACACATTCGCCACTATGTTGGCCAACGTGAAGAGCCGCCTTTAGCCAAAATGTTGGCCAACGTGAAGAGCTGCCATAATAGGTTCTCTTCTGTGAACTAAACGCGTGCCCAACGTGTGTACGTGGCGGCCATAATTCTGCTGCAACTCTTTGATATTTCGGCGGCTCTTCACGTTGGCCAACCTTGTGGTGAATGTTGTGGCCAATACCTATGGCCAATATGTAGAGCGGGTGTTTGTGCTTACTTTGTTAGTTATGGTGTCGGTGAATTAGTATTCGAGCCGTGTGGTGTGCGGCGGAGTAGAATACCACCACCCCATATCTACCTGTGGGTGTCGTAGAAGGCGACTAAGGGAGTGTGGAAAAGGACTGAACCCCTGTACCTTTTTCACTGATATACCTACTGTTCCATCTGTCCGAGTCCCTCTCCGGTCGTAACGGTCTCCGTTCCACTGGGTCCAGAGGGGCAAAGACGAGTATGTGCACCTGTGTCCGCGCGTACACTTGTGCACGTTAATATGTCCTGCGCAATTGACCTGCTTCCAAATAGGACTCCGATCTATAACCAATGTCCTACGGCGATGGGAGGAGGTAGAGAGGCTTGACGTGATGCCCGTTGAGTTTTGTCTGACTCCTGCACGTAGGCGGTCTTGGGGGTGTAGTGTACATCGTGGTCGCTTCTGCTCTGCAACGGGGTGACAGAGCGGACTCGGCAGCACCCAAGGTGACAAAGCAGCCCTATTCAGGGAGGCACTGCTTTCCTCGCTCAGACGGGGAGGGGGCTAGAAAAGGTGCCCTAAACAAATGCTCACTCCAACCCCTTTAGGATGGTAGCAACCGCGGCTGCCTCCGCATCATAAATTCGCGGTCGGCGCTACAGGAAAAATAATGGAAAATTTAATTTATCAAAATCAATGACATTTGGCGCGTGGAATGTGCGCACACTTCTTGACCGCGAAGCAAATGCCTGCCCTGAGCGAAAAACTGCCATTGTAGCTCGGGAACTAAGTCGCTATAATATTGATGTGGCTGCACTCAGCGAAACACACCTCCCCGAGGAAGGAGAGCTGGTAGAATATGGCGGCGGGTATACTTTCTTTTGGAAAGGACTCGCTTCCTCGGAGCCGCGAAGGTCTGGTGTAGGCTTTGCTGTCAAGAACTACCTTGCTGCTCAACTGCAAGAGTACCCTGTACACATCTCGGACCGCATTACCACATTGCGCCTTCACATGGAACGTGAAAGCTATCTTAATATCATCAGTGTCTATGCCCCTACGCTGGACAAGTCTGATGATATTAAGGATAAATTCTACGAAGAATTGACGCGGTGCGTAAATCGTATTCGTCCAAGAGAGCAAATCCTTCTCATGGGCGACTTTAACGCCCGAGTAGGACGAGACTATGATGCCTGGCCTAAAGTTCTCGGCAGACATGGTGTTGGTAAAATGAACAGCAGCGGCCAATTGTTGCTTAGTCTTTGTGCACAATTGGATCTTGCAATTACAAATACTATGTTCAGACTGCCTGCCAAGTACAAGGCAACGTGGATGCACCCCAGATCGAAACATTGGCACCTTATCGATTACGCCATCGTGCGTCAAAAAGACATATCTCAAGTCCAAGTCACCCGTGTCATGCGTGGTGCTCATTGTTGGACTGATCACCGGCTTGTTATTATTAAATTAAATCTTCGTCTTCCACCTCCTTGTAGAGTGGGAAGATCTAAACAGATACGTCTGAACCTCGAACGACTCCAAGATACTAACACGAAGGCTAAATATGCCGAAACCTTGAACACTGCTCTGCAGCCCCTCGATCTAAAATTAGGTGAGATCGATGTTGTCTGGGAGTCTCTATCTTCTTGTGTTCTCGACACTGCTAAATCTACTTTGGGTTTGAGAGTTCGAAAACATGAGGACTGGTTTGATGAGAATGATGGGATACTTACAGGCGCTATTGATAAACACCGTAGGCTCCTAAAGCAGCACAGTAGAACTCATCAGAGTGGAGGTGCTATGGAGTTGCGTCAAAGTGATCTGGAGCTGCGTAAACTCGCACGACAAGCGAAAGACAAGTGGTGGCAGGAGAAGGCTCGTCAGATGCAGTGGCTCGCTGATACCAACCAGCTCGGTGAGTTTTATGCTGAGGTGCGACATCTACTCGGTACGTCCTCTATGGCAAAAGTTCCACTGAAGTCAACTAGTGGTGGAGCGCTTTTTAAAAGCAGGGAGGAAATACTCGGGCGATGGGCGGAGCATTTTAACACCCTACTTAACGTGGATCATTTTGTTGACCTAGACCACGTTCGCTGCCTACCTCAACAACCTTTCGCCCTCGAGCTAGATGAGCCAATCTCGCCTGGCGAGGTTGCTCTTGCCATTAAGCAACAGCAAAATAAACGCGCGGTTGGTGTTGATTTTATACCGGGTGAATTATTGAAGTATGGCGGTGGGGATTTGTATTCAGCGTTATGGGAACTTTTTGTCATTATGTGGGAAAAAGAACAAGTCCCTAATACTTTTAAGGTATCCCTCATACGAGCCCTATATAAAGGCAAGGGTGACCGGTCAAACTGCAATTCTTACCGTGGCATTTCTCTACTTTCAGTGCCTGGAAAAGTCTTCGCCAGACTTCTTTTAAACCGCCTCAGGAAACTTTCTGAAAGGATTTTGCCGGAATCCCAGTTCGGCTTCCGACCTGACCGTGGTACCTGTGAGGCGATTTTCTCATTACGTCAACTACAGGAAAAAAGCAGAGAACAGGGTCGTAATATGTATCTCTGTTTTGTAGACCTTGAGAAGGCATTCGATAGTGTACCACGTGAAGCCCTCTGGATAGTGCTGCGGAAAATTGGATGCACGGAGAAGTTTGTGAGACTTCTGAAACTCCTGCATGATGGCATGCAGAGCTGCGTCGCTGTAAACGCTGATCAGTCAGAATTTTTTCCCGTTACCTGTGGAGTAAAACAAGGGTGTGTCCTTGCACCCACACTTTTCGCGTTATACTTTGCAGTTGTAGTCCAGGAAGTCTTAAAAACTACCCATGATGGAATTCGCATTCGTTTCCGCAACGATGGCAATCTTTTCAGCTTAGCTAGACTTAAGGCCCGTACGAAAGTGTCTTACGCACTTATTACAGAGATCG